GGCCAAAAACATGCTGGAGGAAAGACAGTCTTTTTAGCAAATGGTGCTGCGAAAACTGGCTATCCACATGCAGAAGACTGAATCTAGACCCGTATTTCTCACCATGTACTAAACTGAAATCAAAATGGATCCAAGATCTAAATATTAAAACAATCAGCTGAAAGAAAAAATAGGTAAAACTCTTGAAGATATAGGCATAGGCAAAGACTTTCTAAACAAAACCCCAACTGCACAAGAAATAGCACCAACCATCAACAAATGGGATCATATCAAATTAAAAAGCTTCTGCACAGTAAAAGAAACAACCAACAGAGTGAAGAGACAACCTACAGACTCGGAAAAAACTTGCTAGCTATTCCTTTTACAGAGGACTAATATCTAGAATACATAAAGGACTAAAAAACTTAGAATATTAGGGCTGGGGATTTAGCTCAGTCGTTCCATCGCCTGCCTTTCAAACGCAAGGTCCCGAGTTCATCCCAGGTACAAAAAAAAAAATTAGAATCTTCAAAATAAAAGAACCAATTAAAAAAATGAGCAACTGAAATGAATACACACTTCTCAGAAGATATACAAATGGCCTGTGAAATACATGAAAAAATATTCAACATGTCTGGCCATTAGAGAAATGAAAATTAAACAATATTGAGATTCCATCTTACTCCAAAAAGAATGGCTATCATCAAGAAATCAAATAACAACAACTGTTGGTTAGGCTGAGGGGAAAAAAGTAACCCTTCTACATTGTTGGTGGGAAGGTAAACTAGTACAACCATTATGAAAAATAGTGTGGAGATTCCTCATAAAACAAAAACAAGAAATTCTATTTGACCATGCTAGTCCCCTCCTAGGTATCTCCCCAAAAGAGCTAAAGACACCATGTTACAGTGATACATGTATACTCATGTTTACAGCAGCACAATTCACAATAGCTATTATCTTGGTAGCTGCCTAAATGTTCACCAACAGATGAATGGATAAAGAAAATGTAGTATTTGTACACAATGGAGTCCGACTCTTTTATAAAGGACAAACTTGAGTCATTTGTAGGGAAATACACCTTGTAACTATAACTTTTAAGTGAAATAAATTAGACACAGAAGCTTAACTATCACATGGTTTCTGTTATACGAGAAACCCGAAACATAAAGAGCAAAATAAAAGATAATAGGAAACAGGGAGCTAGATCTTTTGCATATAGTAAGGGGATCAAGAGAGGGAGGGCAGAGGTGGGTAAGGGAAAGAGATAAAAAGAAGAATGAATACGTGTTATGTACACCTACCAATTCCCCAGGAGGAATGTGACCATTATGTACTACAGCAGGTACTAATTAAAAAATAATAAAAAAGATACTCAATGTGAAATTATGGAAAAAATTACTTGATTAGGCAAATAATGAAGAAAGCCAAAGACTTAAAAAATATAACAGGAAAATGAGCTAAAATGGTAAACAATACTGCCTCAGTGATCACAATAAACAGGTTATATTTACCTAAGAGATTCCAGAGCTTTTCATACAACACACACACACTCAGCAATGTGCTTCTTACAAGCCACCCATGTGAAGTTAAGTGACAGAGAAAAAGGATATCAACTTTAAAACAAAAAGCACCTGAGGACCAAAACTATTTTACAGCAATGTGAAAATTCTACTCATGAAACTTTTTACTAAGGAACATATCTAAAATTTATAAAAGTAGCTGTTAAGACCATGGTAGAATCATTTGACGTCCTTTTCTTAGAAATAGGCAGACAGTACAGACCAAAGGGGCGGGGGAAGCGACTACAAAGAAAAACCAGGGGACTCAAATAATTTAGAAGAAAGATCAGCTTACAATAGATTATACAAAACTCTATACCTACCTTATCATACCCCTTCCTGTATTTTCAAACATTGGTAGAACATTTACTATTGTCCCTTCCCGCCCAAAATGAATCTGAAGTTCATCTAGAAAAACAAATATGCAAACAGGCATGGTGGTATGTGCCTGTAGTTCTCAGCTACTTGGAAGGATGAGGCAGCGGGATGACCATGAGTGCGAGGCCAGTCTGAACCACATGGCAAGGCTGTCTCCAAACCTCCCCTCAAAATAAAATAAATTTGCAAAAAGCTTAAAGAGTTTTTTGAGTAAGGAAAGAAATATATACGGCTGTTAGTGCTGCTATGATGGTGACTGATGGAACAGTCCATCTTGGGCTGGTTGCCACCATTCAACTGTGGCCAGGGAGCCCCTGAAATGTGAATAGTTTGAACAGACAAATATGCTGGCATCATGAAGCAAACATACATGATTTCAAAACATGAAAAATACTGTAAACTCATTCTACATGTCCACTATATGCCAAAATGATGAGTTAGGTAAACTACTACTTAAATTTCCATTGAAGCCAGGGCTTCACACCTGCTGGGCAAACGCTCTACCCTTTGAACTTTACTGTGGTCCTTACTGGGGTTACTTTTAAATCATATACATGGCTCCCACCGTCCACTGGACTTGTCTAGAAACTGATCCAGGTTTTCTTTTCTGTCCTTCGCCTTTATGACATTTGCAGTGAAGACTTTGTTTCCAGATTAAAAACATTTGCCTTTTGGCCCAGAAGCTATAAACTTCCCCTGGTTTTACTTTCACGTTACTTACCGTTTAACCTTTCACGTCAGCAAAACCACCAGATCTCTCGTGTCACAGTGTTTTCTTCCACTTAAGTTCTGAAACATTTCCACAGGCTGACAGCTGACCCACTGGGGGACTGGACAGAGTGGGGTGAATCCACACTGCGACAGAGGAGTGGTGGGAAGGGCATCTGCCAGGAAGCCAGCCTGGCTTGGAGTCCCAGCCCTGCTCCCACCGCATACCTCTTTCCACATTGCCTTCCCTCAGCTCCAGGGCCTGCTCACCTAGGAAGGGGTCCCTGTCTGTGTGGCCATCGGGACTATTACCTGTTCGAGCGCACAGCCCAACACACAGGGCACTCCCGGAACTCCAGCAACTAAACTTGCTTTCTCTTATGCCTGAGACAAAATACCCGACATGGAACATTAGAGGAAAGGTTTATTTGGCTTACAGTTTGTAGAGGTTTCAGGCCATAGTTGGCTGGCTCCAAGGCAAGGTTGGTGGGGCAGAAGAGTATTGCAGAGAAGAAACAGTCTATAACAAAGCAGGGAGGCAAGAGCAAAGCGAAGGACCTTAGCAGCCTCTCTGCCGATTTTATATTCTATCTAGGTCATTGGGATCAGGGTGGTGCCAAATCAATCAGTGATTTAGTAATCACACACCCTTAATCCCAGCATCACACACTCTAGATCCACCCACCTTTGAAAAAACCCCATCTGAGCCAGGGATTTAGCTCAGTGGCAAGCACAAGGTCCAGAGTTCGGATTCCTGGTACCAGGGGGGAAAAAAGCCCCACCTGTGACTGCAGGAGGCTTTGGGTAGGCATCTAGACACAAGCTGTAACTGCCTGTGATGGTGAGAAGTGACATCAGTTCTCACCTGATGGACTCTGATCCTAGCCATGGCATGACCAAGGTTGTACACAGCAGAGCAGGGAGCCCAGACCCGAGCCTCCATGGGGACCAGCCCCTCCTCCTCCTCTCCCCAGGACCCCAAGGACACAAACACCTGCAGCAACAGCAGCTCTGGCCTCCCGAGTCCAGCTTCCCACCTCTCTTGGCCACAGGAAGAGCTGCCAAACCTCTCCAGCATGGCCTTCTTCCCTGCGTTTCCAACTGACACAAACTGTGGGAGTTGACGGGTAATTCAAAAATGGCGTCTAACTGGACTTGCCTGGATCTCCACACCAGCAACGAAACTGCCCCAAATCAATTTTCCAAACACCACAGAATTAATCAAGGCCCGCCACAATTTGAGAAGCATTTATGTTCTTTGCCATCCTCCAACTTACTTTCCTCCACAATCCCAAACCATGTTTCACGCAGCCACCCTGAAAGTTGATCACAAGCCTGAGGACTGGCCGTCCACTTCCACCTCCCATCTCACGGGTGGCATCCTGGCCGGCCCAGAGGGAGCCCTTCTCTCCTCAGGACTGCCTGGGCTTCAGTCTCTGGCCCCCACCTCCCAGACCCCCAAGCTGCCACTGAGATAAAGGCCAATCTGCAGGCCAGGTCTAGCTGTCACCACCCTAAAATGTCAGTGTGACACAGCTTGTCTGTCACACCCGATCACCGCCAGGTCAGGGCTGGCAGCAGCTAAGACTGCAGGAGAGCTCCCTGGGCACCCAGCTCCATGTAAACGGGACATTTCTGACTTAACTGCTTAAATGCGTTGGAACTACTCTGTGACCTTACAGATGAGGGAAAGAAGCTTTGATCCTATTAACCACACAGGTAAGAACCAGAACCTGAGGGAAGATAGGTCACCTCAGCAGCGACGACCCCAGCTAAGAATGAGAACCAGGGGGCCTAGTCTTGCTGGGTTCGGACTGGAGACACCCGGGGAATATGTGGGGCACTTGGCACCAGAAAGATCATTCCACAGGATGCCCCTTCTGCGTGTGCACCCTCAGCCTCAGTGTGAGACTGACCCACCACCTGGGAGGCAAGCAGGTCCCAAGGCAGGGAGGGGCTGAGTGCAGGGGCCATTTGCTCATGGCTCAGTGTCTGCTCCTGGCACTTCAGTGCATGCATTCGGTAAGGTTCTCACTGATGCAGCAGACCAAGCAACCTCAGGTCTGTTACTGTACGACCAAAGACTGCACAACAGGCTCTGGACACCAGTGCATTCAACCTGAGATTAGCCTATTTAAGACAGCCAGTGGGAGATGCCTCAGGAGTCCTGGCTGCCACCTGGTGGGGTACAGAGGAGCCAGGCCAGGGAGAAATTTGGGGCCAAAACACATCTTCAAAGGACCAGGGGTCTCCTTTAGTTGCGGTCCTGTAAGGCGTACGGTGACCTCCTGTCTATCACTCCCCTCTCTCTTCACTCCCATCCCCGCCCCAACTGTCTCACCACTGGGGGGAAAAAAGTGGACTCAGCTACAGTTTATACAATTCAAGATTTATATAAGTTCAAGTTATTTAAATTACTTATTCATAATCTGCACAATGCTAGAGGCAGTCTGAAAAAAGAATCAAACACACCGTTCCAAGTTAATTCAATGAGTTACTTTTTTTTTTTTTTTTAAACAAATGTGTACAGCAAAAACTCCCCAGATGATGGCTTGGCCCATCTGGTTTTCCTGTCTGGTGCACAGGAAGCTCCCTTCCCGGGCAGAAGGAGCCGGGGTGGGCAGGTGTGCGCAACAGGACTCACTTCTTACAGGTGAAGTGCATGGAAAAACCTTGAGTTCCCTTTGTTCTCCAGTGTATCTTGTACAAAATATTACATTTTTAAACATATATTTACAGTTTGCACAAGTAGAAAATGGTTACAAATTACAACCAGGCTTGGCAAGATCACTGTTCCCTTCCCCGCTGACTGGGGCCAGAGGTGTGACAATCACTTCATATTTACATCTGCATTAAAAAGAATCTGGGTTCCCAGAGACCTAGAGGAAGGGCATAAAAACTGCATCAGACCATTTACGTGAGCCATACAGGGAATCGATACCAATTAGTCAGTTCATGGCTGCTCCCTGAAGAAAGACTGAAGTAAAAGAAACCCCCTCAGGTGGGCCACACACCTTGGCCTGCCTGCTGCAGCCTTCGGGGTGCTGGGGGGGCGAGAAGAGGGGAGATGGAAGAGGTGGGGAATGGAGTGGAGGGGATTAGGACAACCTGGGAGAGACTCAGAGCACAGTTAAGCCAGCTGGCTCCTATGGCTTTGGAAAGAACCACAGTTAAGTCCCTTTTCTTCAGAAAGGAATCATGTTCTCCACGGTACTACAGGTGGGGAAGAGCAGACTCAAGAGGATGACACTGGTTACTCTCAGGTTGTAGCTTTGCCTTGAGTGCCAAGCCCAGTCTCAACAGTGCAAAAAAAGACGCAAGCAGCAGCCCCGGGCCAGGGTCAGAGGCTCGAGTAGTAGCTGTCTACCCACTGTGCAAGGCCTCGCTCCACCAGCGATCGGTTTATCAACACCACCTGGAAAACAAAGTCACCTTGAGAGCTCTGCCCATGGTGCCTTGGGGCCACCCCTCAAGCCAACAAGGGTTCTCCCTCCAGAGTCCCCCGTCACCAGCCAGGAGCAGGCATACATATGGCGCCTGATTCCAACAGGGGCCCTTACACAAATGTTGCCCTCATGGCATGAGGACAGGCTTCTCAATATCCTGAGAAACCTAACCTTTGATACTACAAGGAAAGGAAAGCCCAGCAGCCAGGAGACTTCGGAAGGTCTAGAGCAGGGATTCCCACCTCAGCACGAATGGCTCTTTGGGTTGGACAGTTCCACATTGGGAGGGGCTGTCTTGGCACTTCAGGGTGCTTAGCAGCACTCCTGGCCCCAGTGACTAGATGACACTGACATGACCAACCCCAGCTGTGACACCAGAAGTGTCCCCTGGGTGGAACTGGTTTCTAGTTACTTCCTGACTAATCAGGAGAAAGCAGTGTCAGAACCAGTTCCCAGGGAACCCAGGACTGCCAGCGGGCAGCTCTGATGCACCAGAAGGGCAGAACTCACTTCATCTCCAACCACACTCCACAGCTGAATGAGAGGGAGGCCAGTCGGACTGTAACTTGTCACCTGCAGGGAGGGAAAACATGCTGTAAAGCTACCCCTGCTACATTTTTTATGCCTGCAGGCCACCCCAAGGCCCACATAGGAGGGAGGGAAGAGGAAAGGAAGGAACTTCACGGTCAGGTCAAGAAGCCAGGACACTTCACCAAGTGAGGCAGGAGGCTCCCTGCCCTGCCCGCCCCACCTGCTACCCCCACCACACACCTGGGCGAGCAGAGCTGTATTTCCTGTCATCTCGCTCATAGCTGCATCTGCTTCCGGTGAAAAGCGGTCATCATCTTTACAGGGAGGAGGAAAAGCAGCATTTAGATGCTGACCAAGGCAAAGCATTCTTTTCACCTGCACAACTGTCAGGACATCCCAAGCAGGACGCTTCAGAGGGTGCTGAGACCTGCACTTGGGCAGAGCCAAGCCTCCATGTGACTCTGGTGGATGAACACAGGATCCTTCCTGCATGCTAACCCCTCAGGATGGGAATCAAAGGAAAGACATGCTGCCTTCAATGGCAATGCCACCCCACGTATCTGGGGGCCAATCGTGTGGGCCACACATTTATTCACCCACACGGTCAGCAACACCCTACAAGGCAGGTGTTAACAGTGAGCTGAAGGCTGATCACCAAAGGCCCAGAGAGGAGCAAGTAGAATTCAAATCCAGGCTGTATGGGCCTGGGTAGGGCACGAGGCAGCAGTCTGCTCTGCTGGATCAAGTCCACTCCCAGAGCAGAAGGGTAAGGACAGGGGGCAGGTGTGTCTGAAGGTGTGGGGAAGTCTCAGGAAGGAGGGAGCACTTCATTGGTGTCACAGCTGTGTCTAGATATCCCCCTAAAGCCTCATGCAGTCCTAGGTGGGGCTTTTCAGAGGAGGCTGGATCTAGGGTATGTGCTGCTAGGATTAAGCATATGACGCTGGGGCTGATTCAGGGTGTGATGCTAGGATTAAGGCTGCCCCTCCCTAGGTGTGAGTGCAACCTATGCTAAGGGTGCACAGCCTGGATAAGATATAAGGGACAGAAAGAGGAGGGCTGCTTCTTGGTGCTTGTCACTTGCTGCCTTCTGTGTGCCTCTTCTCCGCTCCGATGCCCCTCTGCCATGCCCACCCTGCCACAGAGCCAGCCAATTATGAACTGAAATCTCTACAGACTGTGAGCCAAATAAATCTTTACTCCTTGTGGGTGTCGGGTATTTTGTCTCAGCAATGAGAAAAAGACAGACAAGTGGGTCTAGGCAGATTGTTTGGCTGATAAGAAATGGAAACGAAGGTTGGGCAAGAGCAAGGGAAGAAAACAAAACAAACACATTGCCCAGTGTTTTGTCTGCCATGACTCTAGTGAGACTGTAGTTTTTAAAGGATTTTGCTTTAGGCAAGCAAGAACCAGATCCAAGAGGCCAAGCTGGGGAGGGACAGTGATGGGATGAGCAATTCCTGTAGATTTCAGTAGCTGCTATTTGAGCAGCTTCACCATCACTTCCTGGGTTTATATAATTCTCACAGCCACCGTTAAAGACTGGCACCAACCCTATTTCCCTCTGGCAATGCTTTCTCAGTCCTCATGGTGCCCCTAAGGAATGCTGACTCCACTTGCTGCTGGCCCTGTGCCAACCTGCCCTCTCTAGGCCTGGACCATGTTCCGGCAGATGCCCTGCTGGAAGGCTCTCCATAAGGACGGTCTAAAAACGGTTTAGAGTGGCGGACCCCAGAGATGGTCCTCAGTACAGCAGCCCTGCCACTGCCTGGGAACTGGCAGTGCAAGTTCTTGGGCCATGGCCCAGGCCTATTCAACCAGCAACTCTGATGCGTGGCAGCAGCTCTGTGTGCAGAACACAGACCTACTTGTAACAACTGCCACCCCCAGCAGAGGCCCCACCTGTTACCTGACAGGGGCATCACACTGTCCAGAAGCACTTCTGCTCCCTGGAATGGCAGGGTCACGAAATCAGACCTGGAAAGGCAGGAAAGGGGCATGGACTTGAGGGCTGACATTTGGACACCTTTTGCTTAGCACAGTGACACCCACAGCCCAGCTGAATGCAGGCAGGCAGCCCTGCTGCAAGTCTGACCTCAGATTCCTATATCAACCCAGAGACCAACAGCCCTGATGCTGATGCCTGACACTTGGCTCAGGGTGGCTAGGAGTCGTCGGGTTTGTTCAGCTCACATCCCACTAACACAGAAGGCAACGGGGGGGGGGGGGGGAGTACCTCTTCCAGGTCTGGGAAAACCAAGCCGCACACCACCACACACCAAGCAGGGCGCAGGCCTCTCTTCGAGGCTCCACTCACCTGATCTGCCGGAGCACGTCCACTTTCACCCTCTTATATCCGCCGTAGTCCACATAGCGAATCTCCACCTCGTTGGTCTCCTCATAGGAGGCCACCACCTGGGCTCGCCACCAGGCCCCGTCCAGGCCAGGGGCAGCGCAGATGACCGTTACTGCAGGCAGGGAGAGGAGTGTGGACACACTGAGCCCAGAGCCAGGCACTGAGGCCACCCTGGTCCCCACCACTCACCTCCCCACATTAAGCCCAAGATGAGCAAGACCCCACCCCGGGAGTGGGAAATTCAGTCTAGCAAGTATGACATCCCTAAACTCCTCCATACTGAAAGGCATTTGATCTACACCCATGTCCACACTAACTGGAGTAAACCAAGCAAAACACTTTCGGAGTAGAGACGAGGCTGTCTTACTTTCTGAAAGTCCCTGAAAGAAGTAAGAACCTCCAAGTCCAGCAGATCTTGGGGACCTGGCACCTAGGGTCTGCTTCAACCCCATGACAACTAACCGAGAGCGTGGCTGGGGCACCCCCTGGCCAGTTTCTCCACCCCCATCATCCAGCCTTCATTCTAGGAGGAGCAGAAAGCACCTGGGCAGCCAGCAAGGCTGTGCTCCAAAGGGTCACCAAGTCCCACCCTGGGACAGTGGGGCAGATGAAACCCAGGCCAGCTGGGGTGGACAGGGGCTGAGTACATTGAATTCCACCCCTTAAAGAGAGCTCCTGGTTGCAGCCACCTATGGACTCTGCTCAGTCTTTAACTGATAGGTTAGAGAATTTGATGAACACTCTATCCTTATTCTTCCAAAAGAAAAATAAAACAACAACAAAACCCAAAAATGGACGGGGTGTTGATATGGGTCAAAGCAACAAAGGTAACAGTGATGAAGGTCAGTTTGGATCCCAGCTCCTGCTCAGTGATTCCACAGCAAACCCATTTCAGAGGTGGTTTCCTCACCTGTCACATGGAGATGGCAACTCAATGCATGGGTTTGCTGGGCTCAGGATTTTTATCATAACCAGTGTACATCTGAAACGCTTCCCTGACTAAGCAGTATGACACCACTTAAAGTGGCAAGATTGGGATCTGAATCCATGTGTCAAAACTCTACTGCAATCCCATGGCTCTGCCAGCCAACGGAAATGCTAGCTTGGGCTGGCCAGGATCTAGCATGACTCAGTGACGATGGCAGGAAAGCAGGAATCCTGTCCCATGGAGGACCCGAGAAGGGCTCCCTCGATCCTGAGTCAGCACCAGGGGCAGAACAGGCAAGCCCCAGTGTGGCAAGCGCCAGGAGCTCCGGGGCAATGCTTACTCTCCACAGGTGTGGGCAAGGTGGGGATTCCGGGCTGAGAATAGCAGAGGTACATCTGCTGGTCCAGGCTGCGCAGTGCATGGAAGGTAGGGTGTGTGTGCTGCTGCACGAACAGGTGGCCAGCGTTCACCTGGCTGACCACGATCACCTCCACTGTGATGCCATCAGGCAGCATGAGCTGTAGAGGGAAGAGGCAGCGGACACTGCATTGATCTTTCTCCTGTTTGAGCTAGAGCCAGATGCCCCAGTGCAGTTGCTGAACTGGTACATCTCGGAAAGGGGCACAGCAACCCAAAACAATGGGGCACCCAATGGCAGAGGTTCGAGAACTACTCCAGTTGCAGTCGCTGTTGTCCTGCAGTGCCATTAGCAGCCGGTAGAGGCAGTCTCAGCTCAGGCAGCGCGACTCCAGAGCCTGGGCAGCCAGGATGTGGATGCAGGCAGTGTCTATCCCTCCTGGGCTTCCCCTCCCCTTCTCACGTCTTACGGTAAGGCCACAAGACCCAGGAAAGACAAACACAGAACAAGTGGCTGCTAAGAACAAAGTGCCCAAGAACAAGAGTGGGCAGCCCGCAGGGCTGCCAGCCAGCTCCTGGACCTGCTGCCAGCTGACCCCAGCTACGGTTTGGCAGTGTCTGCTCTGCCTTCTCAGCAGCAAGCAGCAGTCTGCAGTCAGGCCCACTGCCAAGGTCTGCCAGAGTCTGCATCCTGTTTGTTCCTCTATGGCTTCCCCTTTCCCTCAGGTCCTGCTCTTCTCCTGTCCTAATTCACTCTCACTTTGGGCTTTGGCCTGTAGCTATGCCAGTACGTCTCTACAAGGCTTGTCCCCAGAAACTGGTTTTCCTAGTGACAGGCAGCAAAGTAGGGTCTCTGGACCCTACTGTGTCTCCTCCACCTCTGAGCCCAGTGGCCCCAGATAGAAGAGCTTCCTCTGGCCAGGAGCCCTGGCCTCTGGATGCCTACCCTAGCCCTACTGGCCAGAAGCACTGGGAGCTCCACCCCAGTCCCACGGGGCCAAGCAGAATACAATGGGAGGAAATCACACAAACCACCCCATTATTTAAGAAGAGAGTCTGCTCCCCAGAAGAATGAGTGAGAGACAGAGACACTGAGAGCCCAGGGTCAAGTCTACTCAGAAAAAATAATTTATGAGTAAAGTGTGAAGTGCAGTTCAGCCCATTCCCAGTACTCACAGGAGAGGGACACCCCCTTCTCCCGACAGTCCAAGGTCACTGGGGAAGACAGATGACTGCAACATCCACCATCCCAAACAAAACCCGAAGGAGCCATCCTCACAAGGCACACGTGCAGCCCATGTGTGTGAAGTACAGCCAAGTTTTTTTTTGGTACTGGAGATCGAACTAGGGTCCTTGCGCTTGCACAGCAAGGGGTGAAACCACTGAGCTAAATCCCCGGCCCTACAGCCAAGTTTTTAGCCCACAGAACTCTGTGTGTCTACTGATGAGGAGAGGCCTAAGGAGGCCGGGGGCAAACCCTTCGGAGAATGACGAGCCCCAAGAGCCCTGAGCAACCAGCTCCCAGCCCTGGAGATGGCAGCTTCTCCTCCTGCCAAACCACCAAGGCTTCCTAGGGGAGAACAATCCAGGCAGTTCCTGGGAGAGTGAAGGGAAAGGAATCCTTCCCTGATCCAGCTCAACTACAAGTGAGGAACGGAATGGCCCATCCCAAGCCTCCCAGGCCTCTAGGTTAGGACCCACGGGGGGCTTCTTAAAAGCTGCCATGTCCAGGGTCATCTGGAAATCAGCTGAAGGCAAATGCTTAGAAAACACAAAACATGTCCAGTGACAGGACTAGGAGAGCACTGGTCCTCCTGTGCAGGCCCCAGGGGCTGGCACTTCACCCCATCCCGAGATGCAGGCTGTAGCAGTGGAGGCCCGAGGTGAGAGGCCACAGGCCAGTGTGCTTGTGGCCTTCGTAGCTCACATCAGGGGAGTTTCCCATTTGGCGTAGGTCTGGGGAAGAGCACGCTTACCCAGGACGTCATCGGTAGAGAAGGCAGTGCCAATGAAGGCAACGGGGGAGCATAGATGTTGGTAAGGTTCAGTTCCTTAAACTTCTTCCCAATCAAGTTCAGAGCTTTGTCTACATGATGCTGAGAACCTAAAGGGGTTGTAGACAGGATGCAAAATCCCAGAGGGAAGGGAAAAGTCAAACAAACTCACTCCACAGGACTCCTCCTAGAGTTCAACAGCGTCTTTAAGGCGCAAAATGCTAAGCTTTGCTTTATCAAGAAAGTCGTGGAAACCCATTCACCTTTTAAGTGATACTTCTGCCATTCTGATTTGTGCTCTGAACCAAGAGGCAGCTGGCAGATGGGAAAAGGCCCAGTCCCCTTCAACCAGAGACCACGCCTGCTGTGAGGGAGCTCACGTGGGGTGCCAGGCACCATCCACCCAGGACCGGAGCCCTGACTATCCCCAGACTCTTCTGGCCAGAGATCTGGTGGGGCGGGACCCAAGTCCCCTTTTCGGGCTGAAGGAAAGACACTCCAGAACCCCTGCTGCCTGCTCAGAGATAAATTAAGACTCCAAAAGGACAGGAATTAGGACTCAAATGCTTCCCTTTACTTACATTTCAGGTAAGAAAACTAGAACACAGGTAGTGGCTGCCACTGACCTTCTATGTGGCAGATCTGGATGTTCTGGGTGTAAGGCAGGGTTGAGATGTAGATCTTGGCACCAGAGGTCTGCTTCAGGAAACTCACATACCGCCCCTGCTTGCCAATTAGCCGGCCAACTAAGTGCTTCCGGGGAGAGAGAAAGAGATGAGAGGGTTAACAGGAAGCCAGCCCGCTACGTCCAGAAGACGTGCTTTGGTTTTATACAAAGTCATACTAACTCTTACTGTGTTGGCATTTATCTGCCAGTTCTGTTCTAAGTACTTAAATTTACTATAGTACCTGTGAAACAGATAAGCTATTTATTTTTTATTTTTGAGACAGGGTCTTACTTTGTAGCCCAGGGTGGCCTCAAACTTGCAATCTTCCTGCTTCAGCCTCCTGAGTGCTGGGATTATAGGCATGCGGCACTATTGTGTTCAGCAAAACAGATAATTTTATCATTGTTACAGATGAAACAAGTTGAGAGAGGCTAATGAATCCACCCAAGATCATACAGCTATAACCAGCTGAACGAGGCAGTGGCTCCCATTTCAGTGGCTCTCCCTTCCTCACCCAAGGATGTGCCCCAGACCCAGAAAGTGAAGGCAGTGTCCCCTCCGCCACACACACTGTGAGCAATTTCCCAGCAGAAGGGCTGACTATATGAATCCTCACACCCCTGCGCCTCCAAGTCTACTCAAGTCATAGGTAAGGGCTCAGTTTGAAAAGAAGGCCAAGCCAGTGTGGTGGTGCACACCTATAATCTCAGCATTTGGGAGGCTGAGGCAGGAGGAATGCTGTGACTCAAGCCCACCTGGGCTACAACAGTGAGTTCAAAACCAGCCTGACTACACTGTGATACACTGTCTACAAAACAAAACACTAGAAATGAAGGTCTAAGAAGCCTTAGGTTCCTGTTGCCAATGGCCAACGTGCCGTCAGAGAAGGAGGCACACAGCAATGCCCAGTGAGCCGGAGTTCAAGGCAGACTGAAGCGGAACTCAGCCATGATGCAGATGAGCTCTGAAACAGACCCCAGCGACCTCAGCCAGCAGGGCTGCAAGGAATCCAGTCCCTCCTCACCCAGAGCCTGCCTCGCTGTGCCCTCTTGTCACCATGAAGGGCAGGCAGTGCTGCTAACGAGGTCACTGGGGAGGAAACACTTCGGGAGCCTGCAGCCGTGGGGTAACACAGCCCTCCAGACCCACAGGTCGGACCAAGCCAGGGCTCTACCTCAGCAAGGCAGGCGCCCCAGGAGAGAGCAGCCTGCTGCCAATTACTTCTGAGCCCTGGAGACGAACACAAAGATCGGGCTATTAAGTTAGGTTTGAACAGCAAGAGGCTGGAAGCCACGAAAGCACGGAGGAAGTGGGACCAGTAAAGCAAACTGACATTCACACGATGAATAATGCAGTTAAAATTACGTTTTCAAAGAATATCGCTGGAAAATTACATTGTTAAACATTTAAAAGTATTAATTAAAGCAACACAATCTAAGTTTACTTAAAAACCACAGGGTATGAGATAAGGAAAAAATAAAAGTCTTTACAGTCACCCTCAGGGGTGAGATTAGAGTGGATTTTTATTTTCTTCCACAGTTTTGTACTTTTCAAGCCCTCTAAACATGGGCTTATGGTCTTCTCAGTGCTGAAATACACGGTACCCCGGAGAGCCAGGGCAGGGCACAGGAAGGGGTCTGGCTGCCTATCTGGCTTTGGTAGCCTGCGCCCAGCCCACGGAGCTGAGATGGCCCAGATGGCTGGGATCCCACCTGCAGCCGCCCCGGAGCCTTGGGGAGGAAGCCAAGCACACCTTCCCTTAGGCGCTGGCTCACAGGGGGCCTTCCTCATCCACTGACCTCCTGGTCCCCGCCCCGCCCCGCCCCACCAAGCCAGAGGCCCGCGGTTCCCATACCTTTGGCACCTCGATTTCCCAGACGATGAGGTCGACCTTCTTGGGGTCAGAACCGGCCTGGGTGCTCAGGCTGTCAGTCTTCCTGCCGCCGCCCCCGCAGCTCTCCGAGTCCATGCTGTTCCCGTCGGAACCTGCGAGGGGTGGTGCACACACACAGGCCCGGCTTCAGTGTGATCCAAACTGCCAGGTTGTCATCCCGAAGGCGCCCACCCCCTCAGCTCAGCAGGTACGACTGTGAGCTCAGTCCAGAGGCTCAGGAGAGCCCCGATGGAAGGAGGCCTGGGGATCGATATACCTAATTTTAGCCCGCCACGGGCCCACTTGCTTATTTGGCAGCCACGCCTGGCCACAGCTGCTGGAACAAACACAAGTGGTGAACTGGGAAGGGGAGGACTCTGTGCCCGGGGAGGGGACGGCCCACAAGTCCACATGGTCCCGGGAGCTGACCCAACCATCTCACCACCCTCCCTAGACCAAGGATCTCCCGTCCCCAAGGCCCCGAGCCCAGGCTCCCAGGCAGGGGCCTTCAGCCAAGCAGAGCGACACAGTCCCCTCACAGCTTTCCTAAGGGCCCTGTTCTCACCCCTGTCACAACCTGCTCGCCTCTCTGCCACATGAGGACTAAAGAAGGTGGCCTTTCTTGCCTCTGCTTAGGCCTGAACACCCTACCCTCTGGGGCTCAAAACACTGAGCTAAAGCTCCTTCTCATGGGGACGGTACAACTGGGACCACGACACCAGCTTGAGCTGTGCGCTGCTCGGGGCATGCCAAAGGGACCATCACAGAAAAGCGGGTGCAGCGCAGCTCAGAAGTGGCTCTGGCTTAAATATGGACAACAATCACCAGAGACACATCACACTGAGAGTCTACTAAGTTACTTGTTCCATGGTTTCTCCAAAGGCAGGCATAGGCCACCAAGCCATCCATGGGCTGTCTAGATGTGAATAACTCAGGTTTAGAGATTCTGCGCTCAGTTAAGGAAGAGTCACCTTCACAGTGACCTCTGCCTCAACACTAAGGGCTCAGAATAGGCTTCTTGTGGGGAAAACCACCCTTTCTGAGAATGTGCTTGGCTAGCCTGCCAAAAGCCAAGCAGGCTGACGGGGGCTCTCCTTGTGTCCAACAAAGGGCAGTGGCCAATGACTACACCCAATGGCACACAAGGGTGCCTCAGAACCACACAGACCTTCAGCAGCCTGCATTCAAAGGCCAGCTTCCAGCTCCCTCAGTCTGGCAGTTCCCACACCCCCAACTTTTAACGCCCTCACCACAAAGCAGGGTGAATTGAGCACTGGATTGAGAGCTCGGCACCCACTGAGTGCCAACAGATGGCATCACAAGGCCTGCAGCAACGGCCCTTTCTCGAGCCTGGGCCCTCCCATGGCTCAGTTACAGCCTCTCCTATGGCAGACCCAAGCTCTGAAGCCCTCAGCACATCTCTGTGGCGACTGCAACCAATCTAGAGCTGGGAATCACAAAGCTGAGGGACTCGTTTATTAAGCTGAGGAGGGGAAAAAAACTTTCTTCTCACCTTTTCAGATCTAATTTTAAAAACATTTTATATCCCTGACATTAAGGTGTATCTTGTGATACCTGGCCTTCCATAATTACGACTGGCAGCATTTTTTTTTTCCTTCTAGAGCTACATAAACAATAGCAGTCTTAACTGCATCCTGGGCTGACCACAGGCAGGGTAGGGTACACACCAGATTCGGCTCAAAGTGGTAAAACACCCAAGAAACGTCCCCACACTTCCAGGATGAACTGGAAATGGTAGGAAATGGCTTCGGGACAAACAAGTCAGACTGCCACTCAGGAGTTGTAGCATCTGCTGTGAAATGACCGGAAATACTCCAGGGGAGCTGCAAGAACAGGGTCAGGAGCTGCTGACCTGTAAGTTAGCGGTCTGAACTGTCTATGCTGGGGCCAGCACTCGAAAAACCCAGTGGACACTTCATTACCAAAGTGCCCCTCTTCCCTGGGTTGGAACTGCAGCTGCACAGAAAAAAAATGGCTGAGGCTCTGCAGAAGAGGAGGTGATAGCAACAATGCAGGAAAGCTCGAGCCTCCCCCAAGTACTCAAAGCTGCAGCCATTCTTGGGGCACTTACCCGGTAAGAGCTTCTGGAGAAGGAGAGCAGGTGAAGACATGGAACAAGCACATGATTAAAAGGAATCAGCCACTGAGAAACACACACCCATACCTGGCACTCGGGAGCACGCTAAGGAGGCCTCTGTTAAAAACCCCACGAGGGGTCAGTGCTCCAAAGAGAAGAGGACACTAAGGGAACTGGTGGTCCCCATGCTGAGCTGCCTCCTCCTGAAGGGCTGGGGAGGCTCCCTGGCTGGCACAGCAAGTGACAGCTCCCGTGGCTGTAGGGTCACAGGGCAGTCTGACTTCTCAGTACCCACCCAACTCTGCAGACCAGCTGAGCCACAGTGAGGAAGACCATCATTCTGCGGCAGAGGAAGGGGGAGGCCAGCAGCTTTCCCCCAACAAATGCAGGGGGACCGCCCGATCCTCCGAGTTACTCCCCAGACCCTCCTACCTCCCGAGTGATCGGCTTCCGCATCCACACTCCAGCCATCCTCAGTCCCCACGTCTGACAACTCCCCCTTCAGCAGCCCATTGCTGAAGGCCTCAGTACTGTCTGGCAGCTGTGGGGTGATGATGGCCTTGTCCCTGGGGCTTGAGTTGGTCTCTGTGCAACAGTCTTCGAGCTCTGATGTGCTGACGGAATCTGAGCACTGCCCCGAGGAGGCCACTGAGGGGACATTCTGGCTGTCTGACATGCAGGTGACACAGGTGGCATCTTCCACCGGGGTGCTGGCCTCATCCAGCGGCTCTCTGAGGGGGGTGTCTGGTGGTAGGCAGGGGGCCAGAGAGATGGGGTGTGCAGAGTTCTTTGGCTTCCTGTCCTTGGTGGGGCTGGACAGCGGGCTGCTCAGGCAGCTCACATAGGTCTTTGGTGGTGGCAGGTCTCCTGCCAGCGGGCCTGGTGAGGGGAGGGCAGCGCTCAGTGGGCTGGCAGCTTCCCCTGCTGTGGCGGGAGTGGGCTCCACACCGTCTTGCCCCGAGACAGTTTCCTGGCTGACTGGGGCACAGTTCTTCTCCTCTTGCTGCCCTTGGGGCTGAACGGCCGCAGCCTGATCCACCAGCTCTGCAGTCTTCCCCACAGTGGTGGCCAGGACCTCTTCAGTGGCTTTCAAGATCACCTGGGAGATGATCTGGGAGGCGGCCTGTTCGATCTTCTTGTTGTCATCCAAGGCCTCCTCTTTGCCCCTTTCTACCAGGTCTTTATCCCTGGCTTTGCCACCTGTGATCTGGGGTGCTGGCGTCTCCTCCTCCCTCGCCAGCTCTGCAGGAGCAGGCTCCACAACACCACTTAACGACTTCCAGACTGCACACTCTCCTTTTGATAAGGCTCCGACTGCCCCGACCACCAGGGGTGGGCCGAGGGCCTTGTTGTTCTCCAGTTCTAAGACACACTCCTGGGGCAGCAGACCCTCGTCCAGCACCTCTCCCCCCAGCACCGCATCGCCGGTCCCCTCAGCCCCACCCATCTCTCTGTCTCGTGCTTTCTCCCCAGGACCATGCTTCTCTGTGGCAGGGACTCTACCGAGTGCAGGCTCTCGCTTATACACCTGCACCGTTTCATGGGGGAATGTGAGGGGACATGCCAGTGGGACAGATCTGGCCTCGTCACCCATCACAGCTAGCTCCACCTTTGGGCTGTTCGCTTGGGACCTCGAGTCAGTGCTGTCAGGCAGGCTGCCCGAGGACTCTGCCCTGCGATGGGGCAGGTTCGTCTGTAGCAAGGCTGGGGGCTCCATAGAAGGCTCGCTTGCAGTGGACTCGTCTTGTCCTGTCAGCTGTATGACACTGGGGGGCATGAACACGACTGTTGGACAAGCCTCTTCCATGGGGAGCAGTTCCACGGTGGCAGGGCCAGCCCTTAATGCCACAGCTCCAGACTCTGCCTGCTCTTCACTGCTGCTGACCTGTTTTTTACGCAAGAAAAACCACCACCAGCCGAGGAGCGCCAGCATTCCGGGCAACGCCAAGGGAAAGAGTGAACGGAACTGGACTGCCATCCTGGAGCTGTGGAGTAGTTATGCCTGGGGAGAGCAGGGGAGGAAGAGATGGGAGTTATGAGAGCCAGGTACCAGGATACAAAGCGAGCTACCCTTCACTATGCTGTTACGACAAACGTAAATGCTTCAGTGCCCTCTAGGTGGTTCTATCGTTCAGCAGAGGATGGGGACCGGCGCCCCCCAACCCAGTCCAGGGCTCTGCTTCTCAAACTGCAGTCCACAGGCCAGAAGCACTGAATACCACCAAGGAACCTGCTGGGAATGCAGACCCACCGAATCAGAGCTTCTTTTAACAAGCCCCCCCCCCCGGG